ACCGTGAAATCCTCCACTTTTGAAGTCAAGAACACTTGGCAGCTGCCGTATATCTGGGACACCACCAATATAAAGTGGCTCAAACAAGTTGAGTCCGACGAGGGGGCCAACAGACCTGCCCTCTTTGCGTGGCTGATCATCAACATAAAGGTACCCATCACGATCATCACGCCCTGCTACCACCAAATGCCAATCTTTAGCTGTGTCAAGGGGCTCACTAGAAATACGTGCAATTCCACTACCAAGGTTGTACTGCAGCAAGACCATGTTGTTTTTCAGTCCAATGGCAAAGAAATCATCTCCACTACCTTCAAATTTATTTTGTGCGCTGTAAACCAACAAGCTGTCATTCCAAGATGGTGATGAATTATCTACTCTGAACAGAAAGGTCACATGAAAGCTTCGAACTGCATCCTTGGGGACGGGGTACTCCAAAAATGATGGGAAACTTTGGACAATGGTGAACAATGGAACTGAAATGCTGATGACTGAAAATAAAATGTGCATTAGTTAGAAAAATAATCACAAATGTAAAATGAGTCAAATCAACATGGGAAAGTTCTGAAAAAAGGCCATTACCAGTTCCTTACAAATCATTTATTGACTGAAAAAAAAAACCTGACTATTAATTTATTGATACAATGATCAACTGTAATATATTAGAAGACAACCTGAAATACAACACACATTATTTTAGGGTCTCCACAGCTGCCAATGATATCAGCTAAACTGACAAGACAACCAATGACATGCAAGTTATTTTTTACCAATCATGTTGCAAATAACAAGAGCTTATTACCATCAAATGTTAGACAACCCAATTTGACCCTGATGATGACTACTGAGTAGTTAGTGACACGCCAATCATTAAAAACAGCACTCCTATTCAGGACTACACTCACCAGATCAGTATGCGGGATATTTAATTAACAGTGACAGCCTACCTGTTTCACACTGGACTCCAACTCTGCCCAAAGGACAAAGACAAATGAATTCTTTAGGATTGGAGTCCTTTGCTATGCATTCTCCTCCATTACAGTTTTCAGATTCACAAGCAGAATGAGTTTCGCAGTTCTTTCCAGTGTATCCTTTTGTGCAATTACAGCTGTAATCATGCACATTATCTTCATGTGGGATACACACTCCATTGTTCTGACATGGCATTCTCTCACAGGGTGGCATATCACCTTCATTGATATTGAACCAGTTTGTTGCATCTAATAAAAAATATCATAAAACCATAATTTACCCTGAAAAATGTATTTTTTATTTCTATTGCTTTATTCCCCTCAGCCATGGTGCCAAGAGCAACTGGCCTTAAAGAAAGAAAACCTGCATTCCATGCAAAAACAGAAAAAAAACACACACAAACACAAAGAGTAAAAAACAACAACGACTCTTCCCCCAATTTATGGAACAATTTTGCAGCCTCATCAAAATGAATAACAGCAAGCATCATCAGTGATGAAGGGATCTCGATGGGTTCCGAAAGTTCTGCGTTACTTTCAACAAATTGTTGGCATTCAGGAATATATTTTTTCCCCAACAATGCCCAGGATAAAAACAACAAAGGACAAATAAATTATTGAACCATGACCTTTAATACATCAATTGACCTACCTGCTAAATTAATTGCCTCTTTATTAACTTGTACATCTTTGATAGCTCCCACAAATGATGGCACTGGAGCAGCATTACCCTTTGTTTTATTAAGCATACTGAATCCAAGAGGAACACCTCCTACATACCAGCTGTCATACAACTGTATTCCTTTTAACTTCCCTTTAACTTCACCTTTCAGCTGTGCTCCATTACCAATTTGAAGTGTTCCAAATGGGGGATCTGCTGTTGTTACATAGCTACATCAAGAACAAAATAGCATTTGATAGTTATTTAGAGAATTATCAACCAAAGACAGACCAACTAGGCATGAATAAATGGTGAGAAAAATCTGTTCTTGTGTGAGAAAGACACCATGGACATGTGGAGTTTCTCTTCAAGAGTTAAAAAAAAAATTAATGAGTTAGGGCATCAAACAAGTTGAATACTTTACAACATGAGAAGAGAAATTTTGTATCTCCAGGTGGTCATGTACATGTAAATATAATATTAAATGCCAAACCACCGAACCATTTTTTATATTAAAATGTTTTGTAGCTTAAGGTAAAATTTATTGCATCACCATAGCAACCGCAACCTTTTCACATGGGAAGATATATCATGTTTTCGTGGAAAAGCTCAAATGGTATTTTTTTTGGCACATTTACGTAATAGATTTGGTCTTAAAACTTTTAGATGGCTGGATGAAAACTACCCGCATTCTCAGTGCATGAATATGAAAGAGAAGAATGAAACCATTACATACAGCCATGGACCAAACATGAAGCTTATTTAATTACGCCAGGTGAAGTTAATTAAACAAATGGTTGGTCAGTGGCTGTATATAATGGGCTCATTCTTCACTTACACTTTTTATGCACCAAGAGTGTGGGCACTTTTCATGCAGCTATCTCACAGGAAAAACTTGGCCATTACACCAACTTTGAAAACAAAGCTAAACTGTTGACTATTATGGTATCATAATTATTTAAAAGATAACTAAGGAGCAGTAAGGCCGTGAATTAAGTACAATATATTCATAATGTTACACATACGTGGCTGTCGCTGTGATGGTCTCTCCAGTGTTAACATTTTGATCACTCCTGATAAACACCAAGCTGTCTCCAGGGTCAAATCGGAATTCCAGTTTACCACCAACAACACTCAATTGAATAAAATCTCCACGTTCTTTGTGATCGGCAGCAAAAAGTATAAGCCCCTCAGTAGCATTTGTCTGAAATGTAACATCTATGGTGTTTAGTTCGTTATTAAATGAGATGCTCTTGTGTTCCAAGAACGAACCCTGTCTGAAGCCTGGAAAGTGAAGATCACCAGTCTCTGAAAAAAATTTAAAAAACAGAATTTATGAAATTCATGACTTGTGAAACTGTTAAGTCCCTCATACACTGTAGAAACATTTGAAAGGTGTGAATGCACAAAGAACAAAAAAGCTACCAGGGTACACAAAGTCGTCAAAGGCAGGTAAGCGTTATTGACTCAGGGTAAAATTTTAAACTTAGACAGGGTTTACTAATGTTATGGACCATTATTTTATTTCTCTTTAATTTTATTAACATAATAATAATAATAATAATTTATCATTTATAAGGTGCAAAATAGCATTTATATATATGATCTTATGCGCAACATTCCACCTTGATCTCCAAAAAAGGGTTTAAAAATATGTTATTACCTGTTAAATGTTCCTGGACAAGAAAATTTTGTCTGAAATAAATTATTTCTTACGCCAAAGTTGAAGTCTACCAACTTCCAAACTGGGGAAGCATACTATGTGAATGCTGTCAGTGGAACTTATATACTCTACTAACCTTGTATACTAAAGCATCTTGGTCCAACGGTGGGGTAAGGACATTCACAGCGGAATTTATATCTTGAGTATGGTTCATCATAACATGTGCCATTGTTTATACAGGGATTGTGAAGGCAGGTTTGGTTACTTAAGGGTGTTAAGGTTGGGGAAGGTGATGATGTCGGCCACACAGAAGACAAAACAATAACTGTACTTCTTGAAGGAGAGAGTGTCATAGTTGAAGTATAAAACACAGTGGTCGATAATGGCACAGTGGTTGTGATTGAAGAAGTAGATTTGCTTAAAACAGTGGCTGATGAGGCGAGGAATGTTGGCAAAGTACCAGTTGAAATCTTAGATGAGGTGATAACTGCAGAAGAAAATGGTAGCCTTGAAAATAATATACTGGATGATTGGATGACAGTTGACGTTACAGCTGGTGATGATGCAGGTGTAACTGATGAATAGATTGATGTTGCTAAGCTGGGACTTATTGCTTGAGATAATGAAGATAACTTGATTATTGAACTTGCTGATGATGATAAACTAAACAAGACTGAAGTTGTCCCAAAAACCACATTTAAACTTCTATTTTGGGAAGCTGATGCAGAAGAACTTTGAAAAACTACCTGTGTTGATGATGGAACAAGTGGAGAAGAGGAAAATGGGGTAGCTGATGATGAGACCACTTTCACTAAAGAACTGAATTTTGTTAGTGAACTAGATGAGGCTTCTACTGGTGATGTTGACGCTGATAAAAGACTTGTATTGATGGCCAATGAGGAACTGAATTTTATTAGCGAGCTAGATAAGGCTTCTACTGGTGATGTTGACGCTGATAAATGACTTGTATTGATTGTCGATGAAGAACTGAATTTTGTTAGAGAGGTAGATGAGAGTTCCACTGGTGATGTTGACACTGATAAAACACTTGTATTGAATGTTGGTAAAAGTGACTGCTGTGAAGACAGAGATGCTGAAGAAGTTTTGCGTGACTGCAATGGAGTTGATGTGGCCAACTCTGGTGTGCTTGCTATTGTTTGGGTTAATGAATGATATACTAGCGAAGATGTCAATACCGTAGATGTAACACTAAATGAAGAAGAAACATCTTGTATAACTGAGCTGGAATTCACTACCAGGGTTGTTGACAGTAGCATACTTGTTTGAAATGGTGTCATTGAGGAAAACGGAATTGAAGAGGATGTAATGTTTACAGTGCAGTTTCGCCCAGTGAAACTTGGTGGACATGTGCACGTATAGTTTTGTCTTTTTTCTCCTGACCTTTGACATGTTCCACCATTTTTACATGGTTGTAATGAGCACATGTTAAAAATAACAGTTTCACAGTTGACTCCTTCAGTATCTGGCTCACACAAACATGTATAACGATTAATGTAATCTACACAGAATCCCTTATTTTGACAGGGTTGTGAAGCACATTCATTGATATTTGTGTCACATAGATTCCCAGTATATCCAGGCAGGCAAGTACAATTAAAACTATCAGCAAGACCATCTGTAATGTCTCTACAAGTCGCACCATTCTTACAGGGGTTTCTGCTTGAGTGACAGCTGTCAAGTTCTTCACAATAATTTCCTAGATATGAATTGGGACACAAGCATGTATAGTTCCGTGTAAAAAACTTACTCGCATTACTGGCACAAAGTCCCATACCACTACAGACACCTGATTGAGGCATTGCTGAGTTGATGCAGTATGGTTGCTGACGGCTGCGCACATATATTTCCAGTTTTATGCCAAAATTACAACTGAAAAGTGAGGGATTGTCATCAATGAAATACTTGACTCCCACCGGGTTTAAAAACTTTGATGAAACTTCAAATGAGGTGGAAGTTGCATTATTGACTAACTGACCAGTGTTCAAGATGCAGTTGTCATAAGCGTTTTTTGTAACATTTCGCACTCTAAAAGTAATCATTTCACTGGGTTTAAATATCACTTTATCCCCCTGTACAACAGTTTGAGGTTGCTGTCTGGGACCCCTGACGAACCCAAAAGGATCTTTTTCACCATAACATTCTTCTTCAAACTGTCCGTCACATATGTGTCCATTATGTCCCCATTCAATGGTAACCGTTCTAACTGTGTTGTTAAAACAGTGAAATCCAGATGGGCAGTGAAGATTTGGAACAGAGCTACGCGGCTGAGACGTTGAGTTTTGTGCCAAAACAACATTTAGTCGCGAAGCAATCAGCAAAAAAGTCAAATATAATGCAGATAATGTAAGGCAACGCTGTGACACTACGTACATCTCATCTGTTGAAGTTTCTACACTTGCTGCAAGCTCTCATAGGATTTGCGGGATTTACGGTTCAGTGATGGAACACACGCGCCACACTTCCTTATCACCGTTGGTATTTATATAACATTCAAATCTGTGCTCATATATAAGGGTACTCTCGCATTTGCTACCAGATCGAACTCACTTGATGAATCAGCTTTGGCTACATGACGAATTCAAACTCCATGATGAAAATACAGCTGTCAAAATATCATCTTGATTGAGAGCCAGTACTCTTGCAGACTGCAGACGATCGATTCGTAGTAAGAACTGTAAGAACTGGCTTCGATTGCTGTGAAAAAATAGTCAGCAGTTACTTGATTTAGAGGCTTCTAAACCAGCAGGAAAATTCAACGTTGTAGATAACTACAACCAAGACCAACTGTTTAAACTGAACAGCTGTATGGCGTACGTGTTTCAAGTTAACCGCTCTGCTCGAAAGAAGATATTCAACAGATCAAATAAGGCGTCCACAAGTTTCTGCCGGGTCCCTGTAGCTTAAGAAAATCCAGGCTTCTAAGAATTAACAACTTCTCTAGAAATCTTAAATTTTTTATATGTTATTCCTTCTGCGGTTACCAGACGAAGCGTTTTAAAACTCAAATATTTCTCTCAAGGGAACGCTTGGCGACCGTTTACACCCCATTTCAATAACAATGGTTGTTAGGGTTTTGGTGCTTTTGTGCCTGATTGACCTTGCAATGTGATTGGTTGGCTCAAACGCAACAAACGCCTGACAGATTTTAGCTGCTAAACTTAGAACTCACATCACAGCCGTACCGTACCTACATGCAGCCCTCTTTGCAAAGTACTTTACATATCGATAACTGCGAGCAGGCGTTCTTTTTTTCGGAAACGAGCGACGAGCTTCCCTAACAAAAGGGAAGAAGGACCGCCTGACAAGACCTGACACGTCATGCTTTACATAGTCTGATCTGATGATCATTTTATCAGCCCTTTTACAAAGGCTGGCATGATTGGCCGAATTCCAGGTACCGGATTCCAGCCTTTGTCGGTGGAACTTGGATTCTGGATTCCAATCGTTAGTGGCATTGCGGACTCCTACAGCTGTATTCCGGATTCCAAAGCCCAGGATTCCAGATTTCACAGGCAAAAATTTCCCGGATTCCGGAAATCCGGATTCCCTAATTATTAAAGTGGGGCGAAAAGCAGTCATCATGGATACTTCCCAAACTTTGAGGTGTAGCTGTTAAACAATAGAAACGTAAGGAAATGTTTCTCTTTCTTAAGACTTGGTTATTATATTGTAGTTACCGGGGTATTTACGCATGATTCAATTTGACCCGTTACCATGCCCCCCCCCCCGGAAACATACCCCAGGAAATTTGCAGTTTTTTTCTTTCCTGGTGGTCTATTCCCACCCCCGGGCACGCGTGAGACAATTCCCCACCCTGAACCCTCCATCAACCTCGTATACGTTGTTTTGGCTACATCTTTTTTAGAGCACTATTGAGTTCCGTCAGAAACCCATATGGGGTTCTGGTTCCGTAGAATAACAACACGATTTTTTTAAACACATGAACAATACATTCGAAAGCGAAAAGGAAGAAATGAAGGAAACTCCTCGCTAGAACACTTCATAAGAACACTGGACTGAATCGCTGTTTATTTATATGTATTAAAAATATTGTGTCCTTGTACATGTTTTGAAAGTTGTCTTATCATTTAGCTGGGCTGAAGAAATATTTCTTTGTTTCTTTTGCAAAAAATCCCATTCGAGTACGCATCATACCCATATTCGTTTAAAATTTCAAAACATACCTGCAAATAAAGACTTTAATTTTGATAGGCAAGAGGCTATCATATGCTCCTGTGATAGGTTATTCCTCTCCAACCCGCACTCTCTGACAAATTGCTGCGTTTTTCCTTGAAAGTACGCAGTCTCAGGTGCCTATGACTATGAGTCATAGGCTCCTGGTATAGAGAAATAACACGGGCTTCGCAAAATCAAAGAGAGGTTATTTTTTATTTGCCCCACCCCCTACCATAGGGAAAGGACCCCTTCAAACAATTTCCCACCCCCGGAACGGAAGGGCTGGACTTTCCCCAGGGATGGTAACAGGTCAAATTAAGCCATGCATTATCGAGTAGCTAACGTTTCAGGTTTTCAGACTTTTCAGGCGAGCGAAGGTTAGTGTGAAGTGAGTGAAGAGGGCCAGACACGCGCATGAAGAAAGACGGAGAAAAAAATATATCGCGCTATTTTTTCTGTGCATTCCCCCATCGAGCGTGTCTGGCGCTCCCCTCTAGCTCTCCTAGTACCGTTTTCGATATTTTGGATGAATGAAGGAACTCCAAAGATATGATCCAAAGCTCTCGCACCCGACTAACAAGCAGGTGCCGAGTCCTCCACGTGGAAATAACAAAGAAATACCAGGTGAAAGCTCGGGAGTGGAAGAAAGGAAATCAACCCAATAAGTAAAAAGTAGTGTTGCCGGGGATAATCTTACGACGAACACGCAGGAAATCCTATCTACGAAAAATTGTAACATCGGTACTTTATTTTTGGTTGCCACTACAGTGCCAAAGGAAAATAGTCATCATCTATCTTTATAACTTTCAAAGGTAAAAAATGTTTATAAAATCACTTTTTTTCTTGCTAATTACATACCAAGAAAATAAAGAACTGACCGCTTGAAGTATTTTAACGATTTAAATGACTTAAATGACGCATTCGTATCACGGGGATGTTTGTGCCTTAAGTCCAAAAAGTGTAGAGTAATTCCTGGACAAGTAAATGAACGACCACGGGCCCATCTACATCCGCATTTAGAAACTGGCATCTGAACTTCACTGAATCGAAAAGCTGGAATTAGAGAAATTTCAAAAGAGTAGTTTTTATTACTATTATTTTTCAAATAATACGCAAGAGGCTGATTCTAAATTGTGTGTACTGAAAATGTATTTCACTGCTGAGGCCACGCAATTCAAAATTTGCTTGCAATCCATCTGCATTTATCCAAGAGATTCACTGCTAGTGGTCACAAATGTCTTGCCATTCCATACGCTCTTAAACTGTTCAGGCAGGGAATATTCCCCCTGTTGAAACAATAACAAAACAAACAGTAGGACTAAAGCACAAGTGTACTATTCATCACGCAATCTGCTGTGAAGATTGCATGACAGAGAAGAATAACTATACATATTTGATACCCTTTCCTCAGTACAAGAAAGACAAAGCAGTTATAGGGGTGGTCCAAGAGTAGCACCCCATCCTTTCCTTTTTGAATATTGTGTTATTTTTAAATAAAATAAATAGTATCTGTGTTGCTGGCGTCCCAGTTTCCCCTTTCTGAATTTTCTGGATCCATCCCTGCCGACTACCTTGATTTGGTTAGTACATAAGAAACTTGCCTGCATAAATCGTGTTTAATAGTTAAACATGGCGTAGTTTTTTTTTCCATTTTTTATTTTTATTCCCTTTCGATACATTACAATACATTACATTACATTACAATATCAACATTAATTACTTATCGTAGATGCACTGACAAAAACCAAACTAAAGCTTCACAAATTACATATACAACAATAACAACAACAACAAAAACATACAACAAAAAACATAAGCTGTTAAGATATTTATAAGAAAAAAAGGGCAACGCCAATATTAAGAAATTAACAATGAGAAAATGCAAAAAAGATATATCATGAAATGCGTGGCAAAAACGTGTTGATCAAGTGATGTAGTGATGTAGTAATGTATTGTAAACAGGGATTATGAAAGTATCGAAATATATGCATCCCTTTAGCATAACGCGTTGAAAGAACATCATTTTTTCTGGCAACATAAAGTTCTAATCTGTAGTTAGCTTTCAATTTAGCCTTAAAAACGTCAAGTGATGGTTCCTTTTTATTTAATTTACACATAAAGAAAAATTTTGCTAATAAAAGGATGTGACTGATTATCATAAAATCTTTATCGGTATTGAATTTACCAAAAAAAAAAACGTCTGGAAAGGAAATAACCTTTACTTCATTACTACAAAGGGCTATCCATGATAAAACCTCTTCCCAAAACATATCCACTACTTTGCAAAAATAAATAAATAAATGCTCTGAGATTCCACCTCACTTTTACAGAACATTCAGTAGAGGGAGTCTACAATTTTGAAAGCAAACAGTTTATCATTACCAACATTGGGTAGTAACAAAATAGGATAATTTCCTGCTGGCACAGAGGAGTTATGTTTGTACTCACCATGTCCTGTCCACCATCTTTTGGAAGCATAATGTTCATCTCTGAAGACTTAGCAGTAACTATTTCAGTGGAACCAATACCACTGGGAAAGAACACTTGACAGCCATCAGTTTTGTCAATTGACACTGTTGGAACCTTCTCATTGACCTGTAGGAATACAAACAAAACTTACAAACAGATAAAAACTTACGTGAATACATTTACCTACCCACAACTGGCATGAGGAAGGTTATGTTCCCCACAACACTATTTTGTCATATTCAACAGTGAAACAAGTGGTTTGTTTTTTTTTCTATGTGTTTTGTATGTGAGATTGTTATGCTCTCTAAATAAATCTGAAAAAGTAAATACTGCCAGTTTCAGCTTACAAGGAGGATGCACTGTCAGAGTACAATCAGACTTTTGGGCATTCACTTCATGTACTGGACACAGAAGATGACGTAAAACAAAAGAACAAAAACCATGAAACAATACCAAGCAGAGTTTTCCCTGAACAGAAAACAAAGAAGACTTGTGTTACATCATCTGTGTCTAGTTCATGAAGTTTTGACCGACTTTTGGTATTACATTTGTTGAGCTCATGAAGAAACAACAATAATAAATTACTGACAACTAGGGTACACACTATAAGTGCCTGAATGTGTAAACCATCAACAACATTATTGCTAAGATGAAATTGCACACTGTTCTTTGTATTATTATAAAAATTACAAGACACACGTAAACCACTTTTGTTGTGATAATATAAGCTGGGGAAGACTTGAAAGTTAGAAGACTTTTATGCAAAAAAATAAAAAGAAAGAAAGAAAAATTGGAGACATTTGTTATACAAAAAAATAATCATCTGACCTGGCACTGGACACTTTGACAATTGATAAATTCAACAGTACCAATTGCTCCATCAAGAACTACTGCTGTCTTCTTACAGTTATCTGACAAAATCAACAACAGACATGTCATACAGCAAGTCAGAGACACTAATCTTAACAATGGATTCGTCTACAATACTATCTATTGACCATGTCTTCAAACATAGCAGCCCAACAAAATGCAGATTTTTGGCAAGGTCATGCTCTTAAAACTCCAGCACAATAACAATTGAAATTGATACTAACCTACAACCATGGAATTAATTTTTCCATTGACCTTAATGGTGCTGTTCTTGCAGCTATAAACATACACAGTATGTGATGGATGTGCATCAGAGATAACAACTTCTTTGTTGTTTTCTTGATACTCCTGCAATCAAAATCAATGTGTCATTCAACAACCTGATAAATCACTNAAAAAAACGTCTGGAAAGGAAATAACCTTTACTTCATTACTACAAAGGGCTATCCATGATAAAACCTCTTCCCAAAACATATCCACTACTTTGCAAAAATAAATAAATAAATGCTCTGAGATTCCACCTCACTTTTACAGAACATTCAGTAGAGGGAGTCTACAATTTTGAAAGCAAACAGTTTATCATTACCAACATTGGGTAGTAACAAAATAGGATAATTTCCTGCTGGCACAGAGGAGTTATGTTTGTACTCACCATGTCCTGTCCACCATCTTTTGGAAGCATAATGTTCATCTCTGAAGACTTAGCAGTAACTATTTCAGTGGAACCAATACCACTGGGAAAGAACACTTGACAGCCATCAGTTTTGTCAATTGACACTGTTGGAACCTTCTCATTGACCTGTAGGAATACAAACAAAACTTACAAACAGATAAAAACTTACGTGAATACATTTACCTACCCACAACTGGCATGAGGAAGGTTATGTTCCCCACAACACTATTTTGTCATATTCAACAGTGAAACAAGTGGTTTGTTTTTTTTTCTATGTGTTTTGTATGTGAGATTGTTATGCTCTCTAAATAAATCTGAAAAAGTAAATACTGCCAGTTTCAGCTTACAAGGAGGATGCACTGTCAGAGTACAATCAGACTTTTGGGCATTCACTTCATGTACTGGACACAGAAGATGACGTAAAACAAAAGAACAAAAACCATGAAACAATACCAAGCAGAGTTTTCCCTGAACAGAAAACAAAGAAGACTTGTGTTACATCATCTGTGTCTAGTTCATGAAGTTTTGACCGACTTTTGGTATTACATTTGTTGAGCTCATGAAGAAACAACAATAATAAATTACTGACAACTAGGGTACACACTATAAGTGCCTGAATGTGTAAACCATCAACAACATTATTGCTAAGATGAAATTGCACACTGTTCTTTGTATTATTATAAAAATTACAAGACACACGTAAACCACTTTTGTTGTGATAATATAAGCTGGGGAAGACTTGAAAGTTAGAAGACTTTTATGCAAAAAAATAAAAAGAAAGAAAGAAAAATTGGAGACATTTGTTATACAAAAAAATAATCATCTGACCTGGCACTGGACACTTTGACAATTGATAAATTCAACAGTACCAATTGCTCCATCAAGAACTACTGCTGTCTTCTTACAGTTATCTGACAAAATCAACAACAGACATGTCATACAGCAAGTCAGAGACACTAATCTTAACAATGGATTCGTCTACAATACTATCTATTGACCATGTCTTCAAACATAGCAGCCCAACAAAATGCAGATTTTTGGCAAGGTCATGCTCTTAAAACTCCAGCACAATAACAATTGAAATTGATACTAACCTACAACCATGGAATTAATTTTTCCATTGACCTTAATGGTGCTGTTCTTGCAGCTATAAACATACACAGTATGTGATGGATGTGCATCAGAGATAACAACTTCTTTGTTGTTTTCTTGATACTCCTGCAATCAAAATCAATGTGTCATTCAACAACCTGATAAATCACTCAATATTAACATGTCCGCTTGTTAGTAAGGTCTTTTGGTTAGGGAGGGGGGAGGGGGATACCTTAAAACAAGAGACCCAAACAGAGAGAGCTTGATCACAGGATTAAAGTAATATTCTTAGGTCATAATCACAGATCCTTTCCCCAATTATTGTTTGCTTCAATTGGTAGAAGTTAAGAACACATAATTTCTATTTTTTAACTCAGGTGTTGTACATACCACAAGCCATTTCTTTCCTTGCAGCTGACAAACTGGCGGCTTCTTAACAGCTTGAGCCTTGGGAGCACTTACAACAGCTGCAGGTTTTGGTTTGTCTGGAACTGGACCAGTTTTCCTTAGATCTTTGTTCTTGTGGGTCTTTTGATCATCTCGCACTTTCCGTAATCCTACAACAAAATGTCCAGTATATTTCGTTAACTTCAAAATGACAAAATGAGCTGTGATGGCCAGGACCACATCCAGGGTAAATATATGTATGTCCTCTTCCCAAACTTTTTTATCACTTGATCTAAGAGTGCAGTTCCATAATTAAATTTGATGGTCTAGCACAAAATACGTACTGCAGATATGACATACCTGAGGCAATGTTGGTGCCTGCCTTGTTTATTTCACTGAACAAGGCAGCTGCAGCTCCTCGTTGGGTACCTTGACCAGAAGGAGCTGGTGATGGTGCTTGAATTGGGGGAGGGGGAGGTGGTGCAGGTCCAGGGGGAGGGGGTGGTGCAGACCCTGCACTAGCTTTTGCAACTGCTCCCTATTAACAAAAATATTGAATGAACCATAAATACTCAGCCTTAGAAGTTTACAAAAAATATACCTAAATAATCAAGAACACATATTGCATTCCTGTGTGGATGTTTGCAGTTTTGTTTCCATATTGTTAAGATCAATAAATTCCCTTCTCCCTGAGTTGAAGATGTTGGAACATCCAACTTTTTGGTTCAATCCGCAGGTACCAAAGAGAACAGATTACAAAAAATTACACTACAACTCCCATGCAGACATTCCTGCCTGGTTCTTTTGGTTCTTGTAGTTTGTCAGTACATACAGAAGGACCCACTTATTTATTCTTATCATATCATAACATCAGTTGTGATCTGCAACTAAACAAATTCTTCACAATTTGACCTCTGCCGGCCCACGACAAAAACGGTTTTGTTTAATGTGGAATGAATGTGTCCTGCTGAGACTGCACGAAATTTGTGAGGCCACAGTTGTAATCCTGCAAATAGGTTCAATAAAATGCGTCCCATGTAACTAAAATAGAGCTGGTTGTTAAGGAAATGCCAGTGCATGTGTGATAGAAAACGCATCGGGGGCCAGCAGAGGTCTTTCTCTCTTCTATCATTTTTCTCTTGCTGTGAGAGACCTCTACTAGCAAGGAATGAAAATTGAATCTACTAGATAAAAGAAATTATTAATCATGTGAATGTTATCTTACATTAAAACAATATCCATACTACTTACAGTTTTACTCCAAACCAGGCCAGTTGTGTGGTGTGCTTTTACATAAGCTTGGAGGTCACTCAAAGCAGCCTTCAAACAATCCACCCACTTCACATGCTTCTCATCTCTGGTATGAAATCACACAAATTCAAGCTGTGAACTGGCTTGCAGTACAATCACAACCCAGCCGACATTATAAAAGGCTGCTACTGCTACTGCTACAACATATGACTCATAAGAATTAAGCCAGGCCATTTTTTCTTGGATTACATTCGAAGCAACTGTGAAACTGCTGATTTGTTTGTGGTTGATAAACCTCTGGTTACTTTAATGATGTCATTTTGCTGGCTATTGGCATATTGTACTTTAGTGACAGACTGGCTATTATTACTGGTATTATTACTGGTATTATTTGATTATCAGAAGATAACTTACTTTCCTTTAAAATCCTTTAAAACTCTGTTCGTGTAGAACTGAGCAGCGTCTAACATCTCCTTGACGTATGGTGCGGGTGTAGGACTCTAAGTAAAAGAACACATCACTTAAAAAAATACACAGTGACGTGAAGACAACAAGAAGGGTCAGTGATATATTGCCTTTTGCATATATTTATTGATTTTGGGCATCAAGAAGGAACAACTAGCATACAATAATGTATTTTTAAGAACAACAGAAATGACATCATTAAAAGTTATAAGCTTAAGTGAAGCTACCAGAGAACAGCCTGACCATTAAGCCACACCACCACCCTAGTCACAGTCACTAAGTAACATGTTCTGAATCTGATAGTAGACTGTAAGAAGAAATAGTAGTGACTGATAATCTGCTGTGCTCTGTAGTTGAAGCTCTTATTTCAGTACTTCTTTCTTAAGCAACTCTGGAGCATAACAGTATAAGAAAAGACCAATTAACTTACCACTGATACCCAACCTAATGCTGGGATGGCCTCACTTACAGCTGACAGATTGTTGAACAATTTACTACTACGATTCTTCTCACGGAAGCCCTACAAAAAGGTAAAAGAAAAATTGACTGCCTTTTGGGTTTTACTTCTAATGGAGCAACACTGATAAATATATAAAATATCACAATCCAATCAATTATGGGACAAAGAACTCCTATTTGAAAGAACTATTACTTCTACAGAGTTCTGAAAGTGAATTTCATGGGTTGACACATGTTCCCAAATAATTTATGAATACAAAATGTAGCCAACAAACCAAGGGTTTTTGTGTATTAGGGTAAAATGATGGCCGCAGTAAGCTTTAATTTGTTAACTCTATTTTAAAAGTAAAATATCCTTTAACACTGTTATGTACCTGTACTTCAGAAATAGCATCAGCTAATGGCTTCAGTATCTTTTTAAATTCATCCTATAATACAAAAAAGAATGGCAAATCCATACTTAACTAATTACAATCACTTCTTTTAGGACTTGGTCACACATTTTATTTCAAGATAGAGGTTTCAACAGAAGTGTCTCAGATAGAACAATACTCATACTTTCAAGACCAAGAAAAATAACAGAATGGGCTATTTGCACGATGGGGTCATTTTACTACTACTACTACCAGAATTCTTCAGGGTTTTGCTTTCTTGTGCAAATTAGGCAGCATGAATTTCAGACATTCCTTCAAGTCGCATACTCCTCTCAGTAATGTCTGAATTGATGAGCCTTTGCTTTAATTTATGCAAAATTGAAAAGGAAAACACAATTTTCAACTGTCAAACAAAGAAATGTCATTCAGAAATGTCTTCGTGGTACACAATTGCTTTACTCTTAAATCGTAAATCATGCTTAACGTTCAAACTGTTAACTACATGCAGTACTCTGAACAAGTCTTTCGGTTGTACAACGCCACAATTCAATCATCAGACTCGATCGCGGTCACACAAGATTGGAATGTAGTACACACAGGACAAAACAGTTCTGCACTAACCTATATAAATATAAACACAAATGCAGCAAATCACTGAGAATATTGGATTATGGCCTGTGCGGTAACGCCATAACGCCACTTTATTAAAGAAAATGCAAACAACTAGTACAATATAGAAATGAAAACGTCAAATAGAGTAAGCCGTGCCAGGGGGGCCAGAAAAAACCTAACCTAAAAAACTCCGTGGGGAAAAAGGGATAGGAAATCTGGGGCGGGCCAGGCACGACTTAAGTCCCCCGCCAAGACTACTAATAAACTAAATAATTGTAATAAACAAACGAAAACTAAATAGCAATAGTTTGAGCAACTTTTAAGCGATCACTAACGGTGTGCTTAATGTATCTGTTCTTTGAAGTGGCACATTTCCAGCCAGCATGCATATCTAGCAGATCAGCGGAAACACTCCGACAAGCAGGATTTGAGGCGGCACCAGACTTTATACTGTGCGTGCCGTAAAGAGCAATGTCACCTACAAATGGTTTAACAAATTTCTTAAATTCATCTCTTAGCGTTGAATATGAAACTCCTCTAGAAGCATGAAAACACTCCCTAGACTTAGTTTTAACGATTCGCCTAACGAGGGGCGAAGATGACTCACAAGTTGAAGGGAAAAGCTTAAGTAACCTTTCGGTGATAGAAACTGGGCAAGTAGCCTTATGAGACCTAGCTAGAAAGGACGTATGCCCTTCTCTATACTGATCATTTTTGCGTTTAGGAATAAAAACTGACATGTACTCGTTGAAAATAGAGACATCTCTAACTGTCAAATTGCGAATTTCGTCCATACGAAAAAACCCAGCAAAGCCAACCAAGAGGACGAAAAGAAAACGAATAACGGCAAGCGAACTACTAGAAATATAATATTCAGCGATCCTTAAAACTGTGTCAACGGATAAAGGCTCTTTGGGTTGAACAGGACGAGCAAGCTTCCTTCTTGCACCCTCCAAGGACGACTTAACAAGGGGGTGACCAGTAGGGCATTCTACAATACCGGCCAGACTATGACCCCACTTAATACCATAAACAACTGACTCTATAGGAGATATCCCCGTATTATTAGAAATAGAAACAGCAGTAAGTTCGCTGATAAAGAGAGCAATGTGCAGTGGCTTCGCTGGAATAACTGAAACGCCAATCTTAGAATCTGCCCATTCACGCCATCTGATCCAGCCAGATCTATACTTCTGCACGGTAGAGGGAGCCTTGGACTCAAACTGTAAATGGAGAAGGTCTGGAACAAGCTTGCGCAAGGATGGATCGGCCAAAGAATTCGCTTCACTCCAAATCCCGGATTGGAGAACATCTAAAAAATAAAATAAAAGTAGGCAGGAAAAGGCAAAACATTTAAAATTATAATACAGTAGAAAATATGATGCTGCATCATAATCATGCAGCACGGACAGTACTACAGCGTAAAAACGACATGTAATGAGAAACAACGACAAACGGAAGCCGAACTGGCTGGGCCCAGTAATGCTGTAAAAAACAGTAAAAAATACAACAAAATAGCAAACATTCAATAAAACAAATGTAGACCAATAAAATAAAACATAAAATAAGGCCAACTGACGGCGCCAAAACAGGCAAACTGCGTGGTGAAGCGGACATCGAACTCCGAGCCAAGAAGACGCTGCCAAATCAGGCAAAAAATACACCGCCAAATCAGGCAAAAATACGCTGCCAAAACAGGCAAAACAAAGCTGCCAAATCAGGCAAAAATACACTGCCAAAGCAGACACGATAACGGTGCCAAATCAGGCAAAAAAAAAAAAATAAAATAAAATAAATAAATAATACCAAAACGAAGCTAACAAAAGATAAACCTAAAACACCGACAATAATGAGCTGTAAGGGGAGACAAAAATGGGAAAGCTCACCTAAAATCTATCCGCAAAGCTAACATTTTAAATTTCGGGCAGCCGCTGAACACCGACGGACGCGCTTTGTAAATCTGCTTCTGTCCTGGACCCTCCAGCAAGAGGTCTTCAATACAAGGAAGCTCAAACACTTCTTTAACAAAAGACTTGAACTGGGAGGCGTTGTCGTGCAAAAAAGGCCAAAAATAGGCCGAAGGCCATTGTGGAACGATCAAAGTGCCGTAACCGGAGCAGGACGAGAGAGCCCTAACTGAAGGCACAATGGCACCCACCGGAGGGCAAACCCAGTTATTCTCATGTCGCCAATCCTGAGCCAAGGCGTCCACACCGCTGCAACCTGGGGAAGCAAATTTAGAGTTGAACCTCGGAAGCTGGGCATTGTAATAGGACGAAAAGCGATCAATTGTGTGAGGGCCCCATTTAGCGTCGACAAGTCGAAATACCGAGGGATTGATGGACCAGTCGTCTTTATCAATAAATCTGCTAAGAAGATCTGCTCTTTCATTAAGAGACCTAGGGATCCACTGGGCTTCGAGAACGATGCTGTTGGCAAGACAAAGATTGAAAATATCCATAGCCAGGGCCTGGAGGTGAGATTTGGAGCTTCCGATAGCAACTATTCTGGCGGCGGCCTGATTATCAGTGAAGATTTTAACTCTCTTGTGTTTCAGTTGAGCCACGTAAGAAAGCAACACGTAAAAAATTGCTTTCAGCTCGCGAAACGTAGAGCTTTGGCCGATATCCTCGCTCTCCCACATGCCGCTAACGACGGAGCCGTCTAAAGTAGCCGAAAATCCTCCGAACGCTACGTCGCTAGCATCGGAAAATACAACGGTATGCGTAGCTAACGGTGGCCTAATAGAATAGCCGTTTAAGCAGTCGATGTTGCAATACCAAAATTTCAGTTCTTGTAAAAGGCTCGGAGGAAAATGAATTATGTCATCCCAAGCCGATCTGGTTTCAATGGCGAAGTACATTTGTCTGGTCAAAAGACGAGAAATTGGACCAACAGCTAACGCAGCTGAAATGATAGTGCCTGCTATTCTCGCTAACTCGCGAAATGAAGAGAATCCATCCTGAATCGCAGAATCTAGCAAGCCTTTAAGCTTGAGAACTTTCTTCTCGGGAATCCGGAAACACATTAAAATAGTATCAATAACGAAGCCTAGCCATTCGCCAATTTGAACTGGATCCCAGTGAGACTTTTCCTCGTTACAAAGAAGACCAGATGAAGAGAGCTCTTTACGTTGAATTAAGCTAGCTGCCACGGCAGAACATTTGTCTGGTCGACTCCCGAAACCATCGTCCAAATAAATGAAACTGTTGTGTCCCATAGAACGCCAACGCCTAACTAACGGGCGCATTAACTTGGTAAAACAAAAGCAAGCGCTACTTAACCCGAAAGGCAGTACTGTAAAGGAAAAATATCTGACGACGCCAGAAAAAGGCCACGCGAAACCAAGGTACTTTTGGTGGTCGAGACAAATATCGACATGGTGGTAACCGGACTTAAGGTCCCAAGAGAAAAACCAGTGTCCTTCATCGAGAACTTGAGAAAGCGATCGTAAGTCCTCGTACTTGAATATAGGTTTTACTAAATAATTGTTTACGTGTCTCAGATCGATAACCAGGCGAAGCTTCTTCCCAACAGCGACTGTCAAAGGATTAACACAATACGGGGGGAATTCGTGCTCAACAATGCAGCCGTTACTTAAAAGCTCGCTAATAGCATCAGCGACAAATTCCGGATGCTGAAGAGCTGATCTATTGTTCTTCAAAAAGCACTGCGAGGGGTACTCGGCAAACGGCAATCTGTAACCGCGCCTAATCATATCAAGGACAAAATCTGGTGCATCTAAAGTCTCGACCCAAAAGTTAAACGAAGATTGCAAGCGACCTTTCACGCCACTGCTTCCGCCTTTCGCACTAAACTCGTCGCCACAACAAGACAATAAATGAATTAAATCACACTCAACTTCATCACAGGTCGACGAGTCGCCATCTAGTCAATCGCGTCGAGAGCTACTCTTCGAAGAATCCGCAGGCTTCAAGCACGTGGAACTCAAATGACCAAAATCCCCGCACTGAAAAAAGGGGAACACATACAGAAAAACATGAAAATAAAATCCATAACATAAAAATAAAAGAACAGTGTTGTAGCGTGTGGCGTTGCAGACCCGAAGGAAGAACATACTGACTGACAACAACTTATATATGAAACGCAATTAACACGTATTACGTAACTACTGAACACTTCATTGAAAAACACAATGAAAATACCAAATTCAGAACGTGCAGAAAACAAATATCTGCTAAACTTCGTACCGCAGATATTTTGATATTCACTTTAATTTAAAAGAAGAAAACAAGAAACTAAAGCCAACAGAAACATTGCACTTGACAGTGGAAATGACAGGAAGTTCAAAAAAATGCTAGCTCAACAGAAGCTTGTTATAAATCTCACAAAATTGATCATTGATGTTTCACATAAACAGAATAATCACTGCTGAAACCACCAAGTGGCTCTAAGTGAAAACCTACAGACTTTCTACATTGATTCTTCATTTATAGAAGTCATAGTTTTGAAGACAAGGGATGTTTTGCTCTGTAAAATAAGGATTGTCAAAACTCCATTTAAGCATACGATCCACTGAATATCAAATGACAGTACTGCTAAAATTTGTCATAATTATACATAATTATGCAAATGTTTGGACAATCAACCAATCAAAATCACTACCCAGTTTTTGGGTAGTGATGTCACTGGACAGCACTGTCATTAATTTAGACATAGCTGAGAGGAGTCTGTGACTTGAAGGAATGTCTAAAATTCAGGCTACAAATTAGGACTTTTGTTATTCAAACCTCACTGGGATTACCAAATTTAAAAAGGAAAGAAAAGAGGAAATAAATTCTGGTCAAAGTGGTAAAAAGATGTCATCGTGCAAATGGTCTATTTGACACAGATGATAACTTGCTAAAAATATGTTGTTGATAAAATAGAGAAAGGGCATGGCAAATTTTTGCTGCTGGACTTGATATTTTTTCTCAACAGAATGCCCTATTACTGGCTACTTCAAGGTCACATGATGTCTGAGAAAATTTTCCTGACTTTGTAAAATCCAAATGACATTAAGGGGGACAGTGCCGTGTTACCACCAATGTTGATTGCTACCTTGTTTCATATCAAATCCATAACTGTGCTGACACTAAACCAGTTGTGTAAGGGACAACTTTATTCGTTATCTATGCACTATCTGGCATTTTTCCCCCTAACAACAACCCTTGATGATGACTTGTGCAATATAACAAACAAGGTCTAGCACTGTTGGTTGGTACATTACTTTCTGTGTGGGCAGTTCAGACATTGATTCCAAGGTGTGACCTCAAATCACTGTTTTGACTTCTTTTCTTTCTGTGTAGCTTTAAGTAGCTTTAAATCTCTGTGAAATGAAGTACTGGTGGAGAGAGGCAGGTAAAATGAGCACGTCATCGGCCTCAGGTCTGCTGTCAGTTTAAGTACTGTTACAAGTTACTGGGACAAAATAAGGACCTTTACCTTTAAACCCCTGGATCAGTTAGTTTTGATATCCCTAAATCTTAATGAATGTATTACTCTCTTAACTGGTGATAACTACTGATATCCTTACCACACTTGGCTTCTGGCTCTTAGATGCAAGAACAATAATTCCTCGCTGAGCATCAAATGCCTTCTTTACAAGCTTAACCTGTGGAATAAATCCAGCACATTCACGCATGCATGACGCGCATTAACTTTTTTTTGTATCCATTGACTTTTCCATACTCTAGAAAGCCTTAAAATAGTTTGTTGAAACTCTAAAAAATGATAAGTATGTTATCAAGAAAAAAAGGTTTCAAGCAGCACTTCAAGCTGAAACCATTTTTTTGGTCACCATGGCAAGTAGACTGGAGTTTGGCTGCTATATGACAAGCAGTAACGTCCTTAACATAGTGTTTATGGTTTTCCCTACATAAAAATTGAGGTAAATATTTGATGAAATATTACTTATACTCTGGTTTTTAAGGGTCATTAATGGCAACTATAGGAAAATTCTCAAATCTGATCGGCTATCAGTCGTTCTGATTGCAGCATTGATAGATCAGTGTAATAGGACAGTACATGTCATGCTTAAGTGATTGACGACTCCAGAAATTACCATAACATACCATAAAGCTCTTTGTTTCCCACCCCAAAATTTTGCATAAGCATTGTTTTCAGTTTCTCTTGGGGCCATTTTAACTCCCAAGAGAAACTGAAGACAATGCTTATGCAAAATTTTGGGGTGACAAACAAAGAGCATTATGGTATGTTATGGTATTTCTGGAGTCATCAATTGGATAGTGTGGTCATGCACACATGGGCTGGGATGGGATCTTTTTGCAGAAAAATTTTGAGAGAGAGCCTTTGAGTTTAACCATGATTAACTGGTAACAGCAGTTTGTATCGTCCAAACAGGTCTGTAATCTCGTTATCAAACAAATCAGACTCCCGCTAACTGGACTCTACATTACTGATTAAGATCAGGGAAGAGGTGCAACGAGCAGCAAGGAGATAACAGCAGCGACAAAATAAGCTTATTAACATTACAATAACTTAATAATAATAATAATAATAATAATAATAATAATAATAATAATAATAATAATAACAGATATAAACTTAATAATTACGATGAGGATGCTGTATAAAATGATACTTCATTGGTAACTATGTTCCTCATAACACCACCAGGTTACTTGACATAATTTTTGAAGGTTCTTTTACCTGCGTGTCTACATCTCCACCAATCTGGCTTGAAAGCTTATAAAATTCTGCCACTTTGCCGTTTAACACCTACGTGACAGGAAGCAACCAAAAAATTTAAGCTTAACTTTGCAAACTCCGCCAGGAAACTTTGTCGCATTCAACAAAACGTCTTATTATACCTCGTCGTAAGCTGCAACCAACACTCCAACATCTGCAATTCCAACAATATAAATACATAAAAAGATAAGCACGCAAGTTAGAGTAAGGGAAATATCTGAGTCTTAAATATATTGACCCAAGACTTTCCTCTGTTCGCAAAGATTCAATCATACCTTCTGGTGCTCCTCCACTCGCCTTGTCAGCAGCAGACTCCAGACGAGCGGTTACAGCTTCTAGACGAGCAACGAGGGCGCTTAGATCGCCAGACATTCTCAAAAGAAGCTAAATTCACAAAGTACGACACAAACGCCTCCTGTGCTGCAAGGAAACAAGCAAATGAAAGAGGGAGGGGTGAAAAGTACTGACAAAATATCGCCTGAGATTTTCCTTATTTGGTAGCTTTCAGAGCTGGACTCCAGTCCTCTTTCAATCATTCCTGTGATATAAGCTTCAATGAAGTGTCTTACAATTAGGCTCCCAAATTATCCCACTCTTCATTTTTGACGGCTGTTCAAACAGATCGAGGATCTAAATGGGGTAGTGACTTTTACGGTTATCGGCTAAAGTTTTGGCCCATTTATGCCTATCGGTTATTTTTTTTTCCGTTAAGGTTAACGAAAAAGTTGATAATTAATTTCTTTTGTTTCACAGAGTTAAATATTAATTACCTTGTATCTTTTGTATGTTTAAAACAAGATCATCTCGGGATGAAATAAGTTATTCTCTTGAAAAATGTTAATATTTAAAGATCATGCTTTTACAGTATTTCTCTTCTAACATTATTTTACACACAGAAATGTTAACTACCAGATTTTCACTAAACCCCACTTTTACATTTCCCATAATGCACCTTATTTGCCCCCCCAAAAATTTGCATAACCTTTGTTTTTCATTTCTCCTGGGTATTACAGCCATCCTAAGGGAAATAAGGTGCATTATGGGAAATGTGGAAGTGGCGTATGGAAAAAATTAGTTCCCGCAAACATTAGTTTCTGTAGAAGTATTATTTTGCGATCAGCAAGATCAAACTCCCACAAAAGTTTCGTACCAAACGGTATCTCAGTAAAACATTCATTACTTTATATTACTATTCAGCTCGATTTCACCATCTGAGTCAAGCAACAGGGGTAGTTCTAGATCTAGCTGCTGGGTCGATAAAGAATAATTTTCTGTTTTGCCGCTGTTTTTGGCGAGGCGTTAGGTCAAATGGCCGTAGACCAAACTTCCTGACTTGCGTGTTAAGGCAAAGAAAGTCAATAGCGTTTTTCTTGAATGTTGAAAGTGTCCGATGCTCCTTTTGGACTTTGAGTCTTGCCTTGTATCTTTCGATTGGCCTTTCCGCACCCGTTTGAATAAATACTAACAACAGCTTTCAATACCGACCTGTCATGCGGGCAAACTCACTATAAACACGTTGTGAGCTAAGCGAGCCGAAAGAAACGTTCTTAGGGGCCGACCATTTGACTTCTGAGGGTTGGGGGAAAGGGGGCTAAGAGTGATTTGCTTTGGGTAATAATTTGTTTNCAAAAGTTTCGTACCAAACGGTATCTCAGTAAAACATTCATTACTTTATATTACTATTCAGCTCGATTTCACCATCTGAGTCAAGCAACAGGGGTAGTTCTAGATCTAGCTGCTGGGTCGATAAAGAATAATTTTCTGTTTTGCCGCTGTTTTTGGCGAGGCGTTAGGTCAAATGGCCGTAGACCAAACTTCCTGACTTGCGTGTTAAGGCAAAGAAAGTCAATAGCGTTTTTCTTGAATGTTGAAAGTGTCCGATGCTCCTTTTGGACTTTGAGTCTTGCCTTGTATCTTTCGATTGGCCTTTCCGCACCCGTTTGAATAAATACTAACAACAGCTTTCAATACCGACCTGTCATGCGGGCAAACTCACTATAAACACGTTGTGAGCTAAGCGAGCCGAAAGAAACGTTCTTAGGGGCCGACCATTTGACTTCTGAGGGTTGGGGGAAAGGGGGCTAAGAGTGATTTGCTTTGGGTAATAATTTGTTTTCCAAACCTCTGGTGATAGAATTTTTTTCCCTGACATACACAGGTGTAAGATTTTTTTTTCCAGAATTATACATCATGAAAGATTTTTTTTTTCAGTGTAGGAATTTTTCCCCCAGGTATTTTCTTGCGAGAAATGTTTTCCTTTGAAATCGGTTTGCAGGATATTTTTTTTCTGAAATCACCCATACGGTCATACTTCCATCAAAAGTCAAATGGTCGGTCACTCATTAGGGCTCCGTCATGAGTTCCTTCCCCACGTCAGGGAGGATTGCGTGATGAGTCAAAAGAACGTCGGGGAGGATAGCTATAGCATAGCATGCGTGGCAGGCCTTCGAAAGGGACGGGGAAAGAAATTTAGGCTCGAGACCACGCGCCCGGAATCCCCCTCCTGTTCCCTTTCTAGCGGGGGTCCTAAAAACGAGCTTGGCCAAACGTGCGTACAGAGTCAAAGTAGCCGCGAAATAAGAATTAGGCGCGACCCATCATAAGTGAGTTTAGCACCTTCCTTAAATTTAACAAATCTAGGGAACATTTTTTAAAGGTTAACTCTTTTTGCCCTATTTACGGCTAACGGTTAAAATTTGTCAATTTTTACGGCTATCGACTGAATTTTTGGCCGTTTTACGCCTACCGGTTAACCCCATTGAGACCCTCTTCCAAACTACATCACGTGAACTCCCACCACACCCCTTTGCGAAGTT